AAAAGATCTCGTGGAAGACCAAGGGAAACCCTACGTAGAACTATCATCAGGGAAGGCTCGCTCATGGGCCACTCAACATCCAAGACCTACAACGGATTGCAACGAACCGCCATGCATGGAGAGACATGACCTCTGCCCTATGTGCCGCACTCGACACAAGAGGAAAGACTAACTAACGTATCTTTCTTTCATAAGGGTTTAGTTTAACCAGTCGACTGAAATAATGTCTTGCGAAATTATGTTTGTGTAAAAAGTGTCATCAACCTGTCTAGTTTGGAAACTAGGATTACCAGATTACCAGTTGGGAAAGCTCTGCAATAACGTATTATTAAAGGCGTATGGCAGGGGGATTTGGTTACAATTAATGACATAGCGCTGCTGGATTCAAAAGTGCTCATTTAAATAGGAATAGTCCCGTGGGGGTTACGGTGCCACATTGCCTTCTAACACGCATATCGTTAAAAAAAAACCTGACTAATTAAGGTTGTTTCCCTTGTAGTTTGTTGTGTGGCGTCCGTGGCTTAGGCGCTGCGAGTCCGACTCGCAATCCAACGTACCGCGATCGAAACCCGCTGCCGGCTGCGTGGATTTTTATCATGGTATGGGGGCGGTCCAGGTCGACCCATCCTAAAATGGGTACCAGGATCGCTGTCCTGGGAAAGTAAAGACGGCCGGCGTAATGCTGACCACATTACCCATCCAGTGCTGATTGGTCTGTAAAAATATGAGACGCTCTGCCCATATACCCGATGCGCCTTAGGCGTAATAAGTAATAATGGATCTTTACTTTTTCTTCCCCTTGAAGTTGGAGTGCATCTGCCTGAGAGGCGGGGAACTAACATTCTGCACATAAATAAGCCAAATCTGTAAAATGTATATGCACGCAATACTCGTGTTCTGGGACAAGACTAAAGTCCAGAAGGGGATGAAGAACCATAAGTTTTCGTTGGAGTTTACAGCAAAGTGACATACTGGCAACAGGAAGCAGCCATAAGGATTGACAACCTAGTTAGGACTTATCAAAACATTAAACAAGGCGTTAGACGGTGATGTGGACTGGCACCCGATTTATTCAGTTTATTTTTAGACTTCGGACTGGACAATGTGGTCTTCGAGCCCACCTGTACAGGACAGGCATAAAAGAATCTGCTGCCTGTATTATGGAGCAGAAAGACAGACCCCTGGGCACATACTACAGTACTGCCCTTACCTCTCCCAGCAAAGACTGTGGATCTAGCCCAAGGGAGCCACATTAAAAGACCGGTTGCGACCTTGAACGCACAATCCTATTTATGACCCAGACGGGACTCAATGTTTAGCATGACTGATGTCGAACGCAGAAGAAGAAGAAGAAGAAGAAGTCAGTTTGAACAGTGAAATAATAATAAGACCCAGACAGGGTGTGCCAGGAATAACGGTTGGTGGGTATATTGTTAACAACCCGCGTTATGCTGACGATATAGTTTTGATTGCTGAAAATGAAATATAAGTGCAAGAAATAATTAATATAACTGTAACGGAAAGTGAGAACAAGGGTCTTAGTTTGAACTAGTTAGGGCTGTACCGAATAGTGATTTTCAGTATTCAGCCGAATACGAATAGTTTATCATCATCATCAGGTACCTTGCCGACTGGCGTGGGTGTTTATGCCTGGCCACAATCTGCGATCTCCTTGCAGCATGTATAAGTTCGTGTGCTGACACACCTCCATGCCATTCATATTCAACAAGACTGTCAAGAATCTTCTCTCCATGTCTTCCTCTTTTCCTCCTTCCACAGATTTTTCCAGTGGTCACCACAGGTTCCATTTTCCCTCTTCTCATAACATGGCCGAAACATGATGACTTGTCTCCTTCTAATGTCTGTGATACCGCCTCTTTAAAAACATTGCGGTTTTTGTGTGTGTTCTGTTTGCTGTTTTATTTTAAGCATTGTTCTGTAAAACCACATCTCTGAGGCCTCAAGAAATTGTTTGGCCTGCCTACCGATTGTCCAGGACTCACAGCCATATGTTAAAACTGGATGTATATAGCAAGCAAGAATTCTTTTTCTAACCTTCAATGACAAAGATATATTGCATAAGATGTTCTTCATTTTTATATAATGCAGTTTTTGCCTGTTCTATTCTGTTTCTTATTTCAGTAATGCATCTTCCATCTGATGTTATCCGTGTGTCCAGATACTTAAATTTGTGTTCTTGTCCCAAAAATAACACCATCGACTTTTATTACACACTAGCTGTACCCGGCTACGTGTTGCTGTGGCATAGTTTGGCTAAATGGAAAAGAAAGAAAATAGAAATCGCACGTGTCTAATATGGTTACTGTCGCAATCATTGTCTGCTCAGATATAGACATAGTCTTTGATTCCCCCCCCCCCCCCCCCCCACCACCACCAAATCCACCTACTACTCTCTCCCTCATTAAAAGGTTTTTGGAAAAGAAAGACAGTTGAAATAGCACGTGTCTAATATAGTTAATGTCGCAATCATTCTCTGCACAGATATTATAAAGATAGTCTGGTTTTCCAACTTTAGATTACGCACCATATAATTGTGTCTTTATATTAGTGGTCGTTTAAATGGCGTTATTAGCACAGTAACAAAAATGGTTATTTGGTTATCACATGCTAAAGCTGCTTGTAGTTTTATAGGAGACGGAATTAAAGCTTCTACTGTACTTGAAAATAACAAAGTAGGTCGTAAAAAAATTAGAATAGCGGAGGGAGCATTAGTAAAATATAAACAAATTACCTAATGAGAACTTTAAAATTATGTGTTAAGCTCTTTAAGTTAACAATTTTCAGTCATTACCCCCCCCCCCCCCCCCCCCCCCCCCCCCCCCCCCAATCCACCGACTAAAGCTCTCTCCCTCTTCCAGGGATTTGAAAATCATCACCTGGCGTAATTTTTTTAAAAACTGACATTGACATCCCTGTCCATCCGGACTAAAATGGGGAGCAGGAATTGTAATAGGTAGTAAATGGGGCTAGTGTAATATTTACCCCATCCCCCTTCAAGTATCAGTACAACTACTACCACGACCACCACCACAATAGCTAAAATAATGTCACTGCTGTCTGTTTTACCATCGGAGTAGACAGGGAGTCGTGAGCCAGAAGATTTGGCGCCGCATGGATAGTGCTGTCGCCACGGACTGGTCAGGTTAAGATGTATAATTTTGCTCCCCGACAGACAGTGCTGTCGCCACGACAGTGCAGATGAGCATTTTATTTTGCCCCCAAGTAAAAACAAAAAAATTAATGCGGATTCGAACCCTGGTCTCCCGCACAGGAGCCCAGTGTTCTAACCATTCGACCAAGCAACCTTTCCATCGGAGCAGTGGAAAGAGAATACAAGTATTCAAGATGTGTGTTCCTACTACTGTGTCCCGATTATAACAACTCAAAACCGCAGGCAATTGTTTTCTCATAGACAGATATTCCAGGTATATTATTGAAACGGCACAATAGAAATGGTATGTGTCTAACACGGTTAATGTCGCAGTCATTGTCTGCGCAGACGTCAAAATAGTCCTTGATGCCCCCCTTTCCCCCTTTTCCAATCCATCAGCTACTCTCCAAATCATCGAATGTTGTTTGAAAGGAAATTGTGTCTAATATGGTTATGGTGGCAATCATTGCCTGCACAGATATAGAGATAGTCTTGTTTGCTGTACCACGGCCTACTCTATTTATTAGAGAAGGTGTTGGCTGTAGGTATCTCAGTGGCGAATGGGGGAAGTCTTGCGTTCTGACTACGGCACATGTGCATTTACTAACGTGGCTATAATTAAATGTCACTAAAAATGGAAATATTAGTTTCGAAGATTTTTCCAAAAATTGGGGTCACCTATCTCTAACAATGACAAGCTGAATTTCAAACCATGATGGGTAAACATCCGGTATCAAAACAAACATATCCTGAAAATTTCAGCTAAATCGGTTCAGTAGTTTCCGGGTCTATAGCTCATAAACAAACACAAAAACATTGATTTTTATATATATAGATTTAGGAATAATTATTTTCTTTGATACTACAATTACTTCTGTCTTCCGACTATTCAAACTGAGCCCCATTCTTCCACTTTCGAATAGTGTATAAAATAGACCTAAAAAACCCATTAATAATGTCAAATGTACGCTGAAATTTTACTTAACATAATGTAGTACAGAATAATAAACATTTAAAAACATTTTATGTTTTGCATCCTTCAGTTAGTCAGTCTGTGGTAACTAATACATAGGAATGAAAGTATTCTTAGTTTTATAACAAGTAACTAAACTTGTAAATTGTCGCTGACAGCTTAGTTAATGCATGAAAACAACTTAGGCAACAGCAACTATCGCAGTGTATGTAGAAACGGGTGTAAGGTAACCACTAATTGTATTCGGCCCGACTGCAAGTATTCGGCCAAATACCCAATAGTTATTAGGTCCACTATTCGGCCCTGAAGCAAATACGAAGCGAATATTCGGTACAGCCCTAGTTTGAACATCAGGAAAACAGAAGTAATGATAATTACCAAGAAAACTGACCATCCCAACTGCAACATCAAAGTAAACCTTAAGCAAGTTGATATGTTTAAGTACTTGGGTACCCTGATAACATCAGAAGGAAGATGTATTAAAGAAGTTAAATGTAAAATAGCTCAAGCAAGGGCAGACCTGAGATAAGAGAGAGCAATGATAACAGGGGGAAGAGTTAAAAGAGATTAATATTAACAGTGAGAAAGGTTATTAGAGAGAAGGTTAACAGGAAAGCACGTTGAATGTTGAATGAAGAATCAACATCACAGCACTCGGGACACTCCCATAAGTGCTCAGTCCTCAGAGAATGTCATGTCCTTCAATGTGACCAATATGTTTCTCGTGTTCATTTCTTTCAGCAACTTTCAGTCTCCTCCAGAAGCTCTGTATTTGACTGTGCGTGTCCATAAAATATGCTCTCTTCTTCCACATATGCAAAGTGTCATTTTGACTTTCTCATTCCTTTTCCACAGCCATCAGAAAACATCGAAATCCTGTATTCTCAAGATTTAGCCCAGCTGACAGTCAGAGAAACATTCACGGAGCATGTTGGAGACTACAGCTGCTGGGCCAAGAATTCGCTTGGCACTGTCTCTACACACTGTACCCTGACCTTGGAGGGTGAGTACTGTCTCCACACACTGTACCCTGACTTTAAGGGGTGAGTACTGTCTCCACACACTGTACCCTGACTTTAAAGGGTGAGTACTGTCTCCACACACTGTACCCTGACTTTAGGGGATGAGTACTGTCTCCACACAAGGTACCCTGACTTTAGGGGGTGAGTACTGTCTTCACATACTGTACCCTGACTTTAGGGGGTGAGTACTGTCTCCACACACTGTACCCTGACTTTAGGGGGTGAGTACTGTCTTCACACACTGTACCCTGACTTTAGGGGGTGAGTACTGTCTCCACACACTGTACCCTGACTTTAGGGGGTGAGTACTGTCTCCACACACTGTACCCTGACTTTAGGGGGTGAGTACTGTCTCCACACACTGTACCCTGACTTTAGGGGGTGAGTACTGTCTTCACACACTGTACCCTGACTTTAGGGGGTGAGTACTGTCTCCACATACTGTACCCTGACTTTAGGGGGTGAGTACTGTCTTCACACACTGTACCCTGACTTTAGGGGGTGAGTACTGTCTTCACACACTGTACCCTGACTTTAGGGGGTGAGTACTGTCTCCACACACTGTACCCTGACTTTAGGGGGTGAGTACTGTCTTCACATACTGTACCCTGACTTTAGGGAGTGAGTACTGTCTTCACATACTGTACCCTGACTTTAGGGGGTGAGTACTGTCTCCACACACTGTACCCTGACTTTAGGGGGTGAGTACTGTCTTCACATACTGTACCCTGACTTTAGGGGGTGAGTACTGTCTCCACATACTGTACCCTGACTTTAGAGGGTGAGTAGAGGGTGAGTACTGTCTTCACATACTGTACCCTGACTTTAGGGGGTGAGTACTGTCTTCACATACTGTACCCTGACTTTAGGGGGTGAGTACTGTCTTCACATACTGTACCCTGACTTTAGATGGTGAATACTGTTTCCACACACTGTACTCTGACTTTAGAGGGTGAGTACTGTCTTCACATACTGTACCCTGACTTTAGATGGTGAATACTGTTTCCACACACTGTACTCTGACTTTAGAGGGTGAGTACTGTCTTCACATACTGTACCCTGACTTTAGATGGTGAATACTGTTTCCACACACTGTACCCTGACTTTAGAGGGTGAGTACTGTCTTCACATACTGTACCCTGACTTTAGATGGTGAATACTGTTTCCACACACTATACTCTGACTTTAGAGGGTGAGTACTGTCTCGACACACTGTTTCTGTTTATTGTACATGTAACAGCAGGAGTACTATCTCCATATGTAATACGCGTAACTTACCATATGAATATTATGTCCTATATGTTGCACACCTAACTTAGAACTTATTGTTATGATCTCACATAGTGAATGCATAATTAGAGTATCAGTACTGTTTTCACATGTTACACACTAAAGTACGAGAACTCTCCACACAGTATACAAATATTCTCTTCTCATGTTGGTGGCAAGTTACTTTTTCCTCTTCACTGCTGTTCAGTAAATTTGTTCATTCAGTTTTACACTCTAATAGTAGTGTGGCCTAGTGCCAAGGGGTTGCTATGGTAGTAGCCATGAAGGCCATCCTGAGTCACCCCAACACATCCTGAATAAGGAAGCTCTAATGAAGTTATGACAGGCCCAACAAGCAGGTGATGGAATAATGATCTGTATACAGAGAATACAGTAAGATATAAACGGAAATAAGATGTCTGAAAAGGGCTTCATGAGTGACCAAAAGAGATAAAATTAGCAGTGAGGTCATAAGTGAAAAAGTCGTCACAGAGCTCCTTACCATACAAAGAGAAAGACAGAGATCACAAGGTAGACTAAGAACATGATGAAAAGATAAATCAGAGAAACTCTACAACAGCACGATATGACTATGGTCAAGGTGGTCAGAAAAGTTAGAAGCGGAACGCTATGTCTCCATCGACACCTGAAGAGGTAAGAGAGGAAATGAAGAAGGCGAAGAAGAATACTAAATGTATTTAATAGCTTCTTTCTTCTTTCTTTCATCAATATCTGCTTGTGCCGCTAGGCATCGCAGTTGATCAGATGAGCCAGGGCACGCTCAGTCGCTTGATTTGCTGTGATGTTATGCAGTTGCAAGGTGTAAGTGACTCCTTCAATCCATCTTCTTCTCGATCTTCTCTTGCCTCTTGGTGTTTTGATTTTCAGGTTCTATGCTATTGCTACTGGCTTCGTTTATTTCATTCTTGTTAGATGGCCAAACCATTTCATTCTTTGTTTCTCAGTAAATTTGACAATAGGTGTTGTTCCAACAGTTCTTATGATCGTTTCTCACTCAATCTTTTCTGGTTTTATTCGCAGCCTTTCACACATCAAAAATAGAAGATTATTGAAGCCGATCTCAACAGTGGTAACAAAGTGGCATAGTTACAGAATAATTTGTCAAGTTGTAGCGAGGTCTTATTTCAGTATTGTTGTTTAACATTATGTATTCTGAGCATTGTGTAGCGGAGAAATGTACAGGGGAATAATAGATGAAACAGAATCATTTTACAAAAGGTAAGACAAGAAGAGGACATGCCAAAGATAGCAAAAATATGCGATGTTTTGTGGCATTGATCTGCATTGTGATTTTGTTAAGAAATATTAATTGAAAACAGTTCAGGTTTCAATAGTAATCTTTAAGTACTATTTAGAATTGGAATGGGAATTGGTAGAATAGATGGGAGATCTTTTGTATCCTTAATCTTACATAATTAACCAGCTGAGAGGCACAGACACAAAGAAAACGTTGCAGAGAGGGCTTTATGTGTGGAATTTTCTAAAGGACCCTCAAGGGGCAAAAACCTAGTTTAAGTGTATAATAATATAATAATATTAATAATAATAAGAACAACAACATTAATAATAATTGTTATTATTATGTGGCGAATTGCAAATAAACCTAATTATATGTCTGAAGTAGCCTGCAATGTTCAAAAAAAAATAATCAAAAGATAAGTTCTGTAGACTATTAGATAAAGGGAACCCAGCCTCTTTACAGTGTTAGTGTGTCGGAGAGGGGTACATGCCTGAGCCTATAGGTTGCAGCACTTGTGACAGAATATAGGTTTGTATAGACCATGTACTGGCCCGTAGGTTTGTGGTGCCCCCTGACACATCTTGGGGCTTGTGTAGACCAGTTACTGATTCCCCCAGGTTTGTGGTGCCCCTGACAAGGCTTGAGGTTTGTGTAGACCAGGTACTGATTCCTCCAGGTTTGTGGCACCCCCTGACACAGCTTGAGGTTTGTGTAGACCAGGTACTGACCCCCCAGGTTTGTGGTGCCCCTGATACAGCTTGAGTTTTGTGTAGACCATGTACTGGCCCCTAGGTTTGTGGTGCCCCCTGACACAACTTGGGGTTTGTGTAGACCATGTACTGACCCCCAGGTTTGTGGTGCCCCCTGACACATCTTGAGGTTTGTGTAGACCAGGTACTGACCCCCAGGTTTGTGGCGCCCCCTGACACATCTTGAGGTTTGTGTAGACCAGGTACTGACCCCCAGGTTTGTGGCGCCCCCTGACACAACTTGAGGTTTGTGTAGACCATGTACTGACTCCTAGGTTTGTGATGCCCCCTGACACAACTTGAGGTTTGTGAAGACCATGTACTGACTCCTAGGTTTGTGACGCCCCCTGACACAGCTTGAGGTTTGTGTAGATCATGTACTAACCCCTAAGTTTGTGGTGCCCCTGACACACTGACAGTAATGATGGTGATGCAGGCTGCGCCCCCCCCCCCCCACTCAAAGATCCCATATACAGGAAAAGTAAACATATCACTAACGCCATATTAGAAGCAAAACTCCACTTGTGGTTATACGTGCTCTTCTACAGTGGAGGACACAAATCGAAATGTGTTTTCAAAACAGTGTTAGTCATATAGAACAGTGTTCCCAAACTTTTCATAGTCGCGGCACTTCCCACGGTGCTCTAACCTAAGTAAAAGTATGATTATTCGTATGTAAGATATTAAAAAAAAAAAAAAAAGTGTCTTTTCCGATATTTCGTGGCGCCCCTGTGAAGAGGTCGCGGCTCACCGGAGAGTCGCGGTGCACAGTTTGAGAATCACTGATATATAGCAAATTATACAAAAATAAATGGTTTTCATTTAAAAAAAAAAATTCGTTTCTTTGAGTGAGTGATGTTCAACCCAAATAGGACAGCACAATGATTAAAACCCGGTGACAAAATGTGTTACCATTCGGTGGAGAGTTGCCCCCATGGACGAGTTCCAGAAAACCCCATTAGGTTATATTAAGGCCCCTGACAACAGCCAGATTGGGGCTTTTAAATAACAAAATACCCCCCCCCCCTTTTTTTTCCATATTGGGACTAAGTTAGTTTATGGTAACTACAAATAATATAACCTGTTACGATTTCACAGCTTCCAACAAAACTGAAAGTCGAGCATTTGAAGGTCCTGTATTCGTACCGCCAAAGATTGTGTCGTTTGCTCCAAGTGCCTTGACTTTGGCCAGAGGTGCGTGTCTCAGTCTGACGGCGACTTTTTTGGGAGAGCCCAGACCTGCAGTGAGGTGGATGCGGGGAGACACCGAGTTGATATCTGGTGAGTCATTTGATTTCGTGTTTTGTGTTTATTGTGGTTTAGTTCATGTATCTTTTGTTTCTCCTAGCTTCTTTCTTTCTTTCTTTCTTTCTTTCTTTCTTTCTTTCTTTCTTTCTTTCTTTCTTTCTTTCTTTCTTTCTTTCTTTCTTTCTTTCTTTCTTTCTTTCTTTCTTTCTTTCTTTCTTTCTTTCTTTCTTTTCTTTCTTTCTTTCTTTCTTTCTTTTCTTTCTTTCTTTCTTTCTTTCTTTTTCTTTCTTTCTTTCTTTCTTTTCTTTCTTTCTTTCTTTTCTTTCTTTCTTTCTTTCTTTCTTTCTTCTTTCTTTCTTTCTTTCTTTCTTTCTTTCTTTCTTTCTTTCTTTCTTTCTTTTTTCTTTCTTTCTTTCTTTCTTTCTTTTCTTTCTTTTTCTTTCTTTCTTTCTTTTCTTTTCTTTCTTTCTTTCTTTCTTTCTTTCTTTCTTTCTTTTCTTTCTTTCTTCTTTCTTTCTTTCTTTCTTTCTTTCTTTCTTTCTTTCTTTCTTTCTTTCTTTCTTTCTTTCTTTTCTTTCTTTCTTTTCTTTTCTTTCTTTCTTTCTTTTTCTTTCTTTTTCTTTCTTTTTTCTTTCTTTCTTTCTTTCTTTCTTTCTTTCTTTCTTTCTTTCTTCTTTCTTTCTTTTCTTTCTTTCTTTCTTTCTTTCTTTCTTTCTTTCTTTCTTTCTTTCTTTCTTTTCTTTCTTTCTTTCTTTCTTCTTTTCTTTCTTTTCTTTTTTCTTTTCTTTCTTTCTTTCTTTCTTTCTTTCTTTCTTTCTTTTCTTTCTTTCTTTCTTTCTTTCTTTCTTTTCTTTCTTTCTTTCTTTCTTCTTTCTTTCTTTCTTTCTTTCTTTCTTCTTTCTTTCTTTCTTTTTCTTTCTTTCTTTCTTTCTTTCTTCTTTCTTTCTTTCTTTCTTTCTTTCTTTCTTTCTTTCTTTCTTTCTTTCTTTCTTTCTTTCTTTTTTTTTTCTTTCTTTCTTTCTCTTTCTTTCTTTCTTTCTTTTCTTTCTTTCTTTCTTTCTTTCTTTCTTTCTTTCTTTCTTTCTTTCTTTCTTTCTTTTCTTTCTTTCTTTCTTTTTTTCTTTTTCTTTCTTTCTTTCTTTCTTTCTTTTCTTTCTTTCTTCTTCTTCTTCTTCTTCTTCTTCTTCTTCTTCTTCTTCTTCTTCTTCTTCTTCTTCTTCTTCTTCTTCTTCGTTTAGCCGTATTTTTTTGCGAACCTCATTCTTTTCCTTCTGCTTCCTTGACTCACTCCTTTCTTTCTTTGCCACCGTCACAACATAACATCGGTCATATAATCCTACACCTCATTCCTGTCTTCGACGACTTCAGATGTGAACCTGAGTGTACTGGTATTTAGAGAAATCAGCATAGTCAATATTATCTTGAACAACTGCCCTATTTCAAAACTATTTGTTTTGTTTTCTTAGTGTAGAAGCTTCTTGTTAGTAGAACGTTGATTTGTCTTGTTAATAATCTCTTTCCCTTAAAAAAAAAAAGAATAACTACCAGTGAAGTTGAAAACGCCTGTAACTAACTAGTTTATGTGTTTCCTCTGGGTTGGTTGTTGCAGGGAATAGGTGTCAGCCTTCATAGTATTGTCTTTGTTGTTTGGTTGTTCAACTTCTCTAGTATTTATGCTATATTGTCTGATAGTAGATTGTTATCTCGTCCAGTATTAGTAAAATTGTTTAGTTGTAAGTTATGTTGTCCTTTACTGGTCTTTATACTGTCTATAGTTCGTTCAACAATAGATAAACACACATGCAAGACATTTTCTAAAACAAAATGCCTGTTATATCGCAATGCTTTTTTTTTTTTTTTTGGCATGCCGCTTTAGAATATCCATCGCGATAAGGAAATATTTTTTTTCACTAAAGAAGAATATCATATGTAGTTTTTACCCCCACCCACCCCACCCCTTTCTTTACGATATATATTTTTATCACGAAACCATCTTGGTAGTCTTTTGTTAGTTTCAGGAAGTAATGCATACTATGACTGGTTAACAGGTGGTCAAAGAAAACATAGGCAGTTTCCACCGCCCACCTTCTTCTTAAAACTTCCTTACGCCTGCCACGTTGGAGACCACTGCCTAAAATAATTGTAGATGTTAGATTACCTAATCGCGCATCATTCTGTCCTAAATCTGTGCTTATATTGTCTAGTGGCGGATCATTCTGTTATGGATCAGCGTTTATATTGTCTAGTGGCGCATCATTCTGACCTGTATCGGTGTTTATATTGTCTAGTGGCGCATCATTCTGACCTGTATCGGTGTTTATATTGTCTAGTGGCGCATCATTCTGACCTGTATCGGTGTTTATATTGTCTAGTGGCGCATCGTTCTGACCTGTATTGGTGTTTATATTGTCTAGTGGCGCATCATTCTGACCTGTATTGGTGTTTATATTGTCTAGTGGCGCATCATTCTGACCTGTATCCGTGTTTATATTGTCTAGTGGCGCATCATTCTGACCTGTATTGGTGTTTATATTGTCTAGTGGCGCATCATTCTGACCTGCATCAGTGTTTATATTGTCTAGTGGCGCATCATTCTGACCTGTATCGGTGTTTATATTGTCTAGTGGCGCATCACTCTGACCTGCATCAGTGTTTATATTGTCTTGTGGCGCATCATTCTGACCTGTATTGGTGTTTATATGGTCTAGTCGCACATCATTCTGTCCTGTATTGGTGTATATATGGTCTAGTCACGCATCATTCTGTCTTGAAATAGTGTTTGTATTGTTTAGTTTTACATCATTCTGTCCTGTATTGGTGTTTAAAGTGTCTAGAGGCATATCTTTCTGTCCTGTATTGGTATTTAAAGTGTCTAGTCGCGCATCATTCTGTCCAGTATTGGTGTTTTTATTGTATGGTTTTGCATCATTCTGCCCAGTATTTGTGTTTATTTTATCTAGTTTTGCATCATTCTGTCCTGTATTGGTGTTTATATTGTATAGTTACTCATTTTTCTATCATTTATTGGTAATAATATTGCCTAATTGCATTTAATTCTGTTCGGTGTAATGATTTATACTTGTTAGATTCAGGTTGTCTTGTCCAGTGTTGATGTAATGGTGTATTGGTATCTAAGGCGCGCCGCCCTACCCCCACCCCTTACATGTTTATTACCGACCTCTTTAGTAATGTCTTAATCTCACTGTTTCTCTGGATCTTTGCTTTTTGTATTCATCATATTTGTGATCATAGTTATTGCGTCATTAGCAAGTTTAGCATATCAGCATTTTTTGTAAACATTTAGTTAACCTGTTAATCACTGTTCCAACTTAACGGCAATCTGATCACCACATAGTTGCTCTGCCCCTCAGCCATCGAACCCCCCCCCCCCCCCCCTGAATGCCCATCTCTGCTCCTTTAAACAGAAAACTGACTGAAATCTCGGCAAAGCCAGGTTAAACAAAAGCCGACATGCTCATAAAAGGCAAAAGACAGGCGTCAGAAGTGTCAGCACAAACAGTCCACCACTAGAATTAGAGGTTATAGTAGATTTTCTATACACATGTTTGCCCACGACTTCTATTGCAAGGAGAATGACCTGTGTGTGATCGCGTGCGCGCATGAATAAGGTAAACATTTTATGTGTACAAATTTAGTGACATAACTACGAGCACTTTACAATCTTAGCACACGAACTCCAGAAATAATAAAAGTGCCTCCAGTTATCTGACCTACATAAGGAAGTGTTCTGTATGCACATGTAAAAGGAGTTTTGCGAACTGGAGCTGTTTTTGTGTTGGGGAAAGACTGTGTGGGCGGTATCTCCCGTGTCAACTGCGGAGTCTTAAAGATTCAGCGATGTTGTGTCAAACAAAACATACATTCTGCACACCCTGAAGAAAAGCGAACATAGAATCACTCTAACTAGAGACAATTAAATGGGAAACATATGACAGAGAAGTAAAAACTGTATACACGAGGGAGATGAATGATCGTAGACCAACGAGGCAGACCAAGAAGATGATGGAGAGATAATATCCAGACAGACTGCACTGCAAACACTTGTTATCACTAACTGAAAACAGAAAGCCAACCAGAGAGATGAATGGAGGCGGGTGATATCTGCAGCAATGAATCTCAAGGGCTCAGAATGCTGAAGAAAAAGAAGAAGACATGTGAAAACGAAAGACTTGAGGAAACAATGACTTCCACAGAAAAAAGAAAACAAAAAAGAGGGTGGGGGGAACCTTAGGCGAACGCCTATGCCAAGGTCAAAGGTGTTGGACAGAACCGTCCATGATGTTGAAGCGGGTCCAGTGGTTACAAGGGAATGGGAAAATAAACAGGGACATATGTACATGGGCCGTAGTGGTGTAGCGGCTAGACTCTCGTCTGCGGATCGGAAGGTCGTGGATTCGGGTCCTGACCAACCCGGACGTTGTTCAGAAATTACTTTAGCTCACAGATCGTTCCAGCCTTAATTGACCAAATATTCCCTTATCAAATGTATTGGTACGCTAATTAACAGCGATATTTGGGTGCCATTTCTCGATGAGAACCTGCATTCTGTGCCCAAATGGAAAGCCGTTTCTTAATTTCAGCACTTGGAACTGACCCATCGTCTTCTTTTCTTTCGTGTGATGACTCACTGACCACTTCAGAGAAAGAACGAATGTTGACATTTTCGGATGAATGTTAAAAAAATTTTTAATAATAATATTCATATTGTTGTATGGAGCGGAAACATGAAGAAGAACCAAGGCAATGAATAAAAAATTTCAGACATTCATTGACTGGTGCCTGCGACATATAGAGGGTATCAATTGGTATGATAAAATCACTAAAGTGGAGCTTTGGGAGGGAACAAAACAAGTTGAAGAGGTGAAGTAAAGAAGTTGGCGTTGGATAGGACGCGTGTTGGGAAAACTTGAGAACAATATTACTAGAATGTCTTTGCACTGGAACACACAGGGGCATAGAAATAAAGGAAGACCAACAACAACAACAACATGGAGAAGGTAACGAGAGAGTGA